ATTTCCAACCGATATCCGTTGGAATTCCGTTGGAATTTTTTTTTAAAATTTCCAAAAAAATTTCCAACCGATATCCGTTTAAATTTTGAATACATTTGTATATGATAGATTATGATTATATTTATATTTATATTGATTTTAAATATTTAAATTTTAAAATTTGAATATAAATGACCTATATAATTTATTAATATTTAAAATTGTTTTTTAATTTTAATTTAAAATTTTATAATTTTTATATCGGATACGGATATTCACAAATATAGATGACGTGTTGATGGTTCTGTTATTTTTTTTACGTCGTTATTGTTCGTGGAGGTTTGCGCTAAAAATATAAAAGTTTATGTATTTTATTACCAAAATAAAAGTTTGTGTATTTATTTGCCAAATAAAAAAAGTTCATGTTTTTTTTTACCATTATTCCAAAAGTTTGTGTATTTTATTACCAAAATAAAAGTTTGTGTATTTATTTTCCAAATACACAAACTTAATGTTTTTTTTTTACCATTACCCCGTTTATATCCGGAGTAAGTTGGCGCAATTTTGTAAAAAAAATGGAAAAATCCCAAAACTGTAACCAAACATTTTAACTTTCCGAGGAAAAAAATTAAAATCTATTGTTTGTCAAATAAAACCCGAACTTTATAAATATTATCTTTTTTAAATCCAACCATGTCAATTTGTGATTTGACTGAACTATACATGTTATCATTAAAATAATTACGTAAATGATGACGTGTACGACTCATTCAAATTTATAAATTATCACGTGAACAGTTAGATTTAAAAATAATAAAATTTATTTTTTTCTAATGTAAAGTTTGGCTTTTATTTGAAAAAAATATATTTCAGATTTTTTTTTTGCAAAAATTGAATAGACGAAGTTCCGGTTAATATGCTTATAAAAAGACCAAAATACCTTTTAATTTCAAAAAAAAAAACCGAAATACTGAGTGTTTTATTTTTATATCTCTTCTATCGTCCCTTGGGAACGGTTTTTGGAAACGCCGCGAATATTCTCAGTAATAGAACTTCCGAATCGGTTAGTCCGTACAAAACCCACGGAAGGAAACAAATCGTGGAATAAATAAAAAGCGCTCTCCTCCTAATTAATATTTTCTTTAAATGATTAACCCCAATTAATACTCCCCTAATTCATTCCTTAACGTACGGTACCCTAATCACATTCTTCCATTAACCTTATATATATATACATATTATATATATGTGTTGGTAAAACACCTGTCCTTTGAAACTTACCCTCCCTCGAAGATGGACTCTCTTTTCTCCCAATTCCTCTTCTTGCTCCTCTCATCATCTTTGTTCCTCCTAAACGCAAACGCAAACACGGAACGCGAACTCGGTTTCACAGTCGATCTGATACACCGGGATTCACCCGAATCGCCGTTTTACCATCCCGTCGAGGAGGCTCCGTTTCAGCGTGTGAGAAACGCGATCCTCAGATCGTTAAACCGTACGGTTCATTTCGGTTCGGTTGATTTGTCTAAAACCCCGATTCAAACAGATATACTGTCCGAGCAGGGTGAGTATCTGATGAAGTTCTCCCTCGGTACGCCTCCGTTACCGATCATGGCGATCGCGGACACGGGGAGCGATCTGATATGGACTCAGTGCGAGCCATGCATGGATTGTTACCCGCAAGAGGCTCCTCTCTTCGATCCCAAAAACTCATCCACGTACAAAAACGTTTCTTGCGAGTCAAGGCAATGCAAAACCCTAAAACGAACCACTTGTTCCGACGACGGCCGTTGCCGGTACTCCGTTTCGTACGGCGACCGGTCTCGTTCCTACGGAAACGTCGCTCTGGACACGCTCACGCTCGGTTCCGCGGATCAACGCCCCGTGCCGCTGCGGAACATCGCCTTCGGCTGCGGTCATGACAACTCTGGAACGTTCAACAAGAAAGGTTCGGGGATCGTAGGCCTCGGAGGAGGTTCCCTATCGCTTGTTTCCCAAATCCGCGATTCGATAAGAGGAAAATTCTCGTACTGTCTGGTCCCTTTGTCGTCAGAATCCGGCCGAACCAGCAAGATGAACTTTGGTTCCAACGCTGTCGTGTCGGGAAGCGGAGTCGTCTCCACCCCGATCGTCAAGAAAAATCCGGAAACGTTCTACTTTCTAACCCTAGAAGCCATTAGCGTGGGAGACAAGAAACTGAGATTCCCGGGCTCGAACTTTGGAACCGACGAGGGAAACATAATCATCGACTCGGGCACGACGCTGACGACGCTGCCGTCGACGTTTCACTCTGAGATCGTGTCAGCCGTCGCGGCCGCGGTCAAAGGAGAGCGAGTGGACAGTCCGATCCGATCGGTTCTGAATCTCTGTTACAGAGCGAGTTCCGACGTTCGAGTTCCGCCGATCACAGTTCACTTCAAAGGCGCGGACGTGAATCTCAAGCCCATGAACTACTTCGTGCAGGTTTCGGACGACGTCGTTTGCTTCGCTTTCGCTGCGAACGACAGGTTTGCTATCTACGGCAACTTGGCTCAGACGAACTTCCTTGTCGGATACGACGCCGTTTCGCAGAAGGTGTCGTTTAAAAATGCTGATTGTGCGAAGATGTAGGGAGAAAATAAACAATTTGTTATGATGTATTTCGCTTAATTGCATTTGTTTCTACTATTATATAAGCAGACAAAATTTTAATACAACGAGATCACAAACAGTAACAGAGTTCACTCATTCTGTCATAAAACACAACCTTAATCTTCGCTTTCCTGTACGAATGTTGCATCTTATTATGAACATACAATGAGGCGAAAACGTGTATTTTGGCAGATCAAAGGAGGCTAAGCAACCAAGTCGGCTTCTTGTGAGTCGGGGACGATAATATCAAGCCTCATCATCGGTTTATACCTTTGAGGGACCCTAGCTCCGCCGTGCATACAAATCTCGACAATGGCGGGAGCCTTACCGTAAAATCTCTTGAGAGAGCTAGTGATAGGGCTTGCCTTGAGATCCCTCACATGCCATACGTAGTTTGGGGGAAAGATCTCGTCCACGGTCGCGTCCTGCCACCCGTGTTTCCCGTCCCTCCACTGGTGCTTGAACTCTCCGCAAAGCTTCACACTATGCCCCCATGGCCCCACATGGACCTCGGAACAGTACCCGCAAGCTTTCACCGTGTATTTCCTCATCAGCTTGGTCACTCCCCGTCTCACCTTCTCGTATGCATCCATCGTTACCTTTGCTATCTGTGGTGCATCTTCCGGCCGGGCAGGAGGGTATCTTTTACAAGCACCGAGTGTGTCAAGGTCGGCAAGTGCAGATGAGGATAGGTCGGTTGAACGCCAAGGTCTAGGCTCTCTCACAAATCCGCCTCTATCCAATACTTTCTTACCGATCATCCGAATCGGTTGTGTCCTCCTGCGTGAAGGGTATTCTGGTATCTCCACCCCGGCTTGGATGCATAGCTCCACGACAGCCGGAATCCTGTCATAGTCAAACCGGGTCTCGTGCTTTATCCGCCGCCCGAAAGGATCATACATGTGGTAAGACTCGACGGGAACGAGAATGTCACTAACGGTACCCTTCACCCATGAATGAAAACCACCTTGCCGTGAATTTGTTGGACCCTCGCAATCCTGAATTTTGTGACCAGCATCGGCCACATGAACTGCTGCACATTCACTACAAAAATAACAAGGAGAATTAGTAAAAAAACTGCACTGTATTAGATCAATAGAGGAGGAGGAGGAGATGACAAAGGTGTTTAGGAACACATAGCCGGTTTACCTGCAGGCATACACAGGAACTACATGCAGAAGCTGTGTTAAACCTTTGATCAGAAACTTCCAGTTATCTAGCACTTCATGAGCCACAGGAACAAGATCAGGCACTAGCAAACCATTTTTCGGTGGGTCAAGTTGCTTTTCGACGCCCATCTGCGCGAGTTTCTTGTCCTTTCTAGCTTCTTCCTGAATTTTCTTGAACGGAATAGGGTAAGGTTTCTTCTTTCTCTTTGGTAGAATAGGGGGAAGATCCACATTTTGTGTATTAGTATATTTTTTCCTGGAAGTTGCAGTCTTTTGAGGCATCTGGTTGTAACACAAGCAAGTTCTAAATCTCAACGGACAACCCTTTTTCGGAATCCCCCGAGGTAACTGCATTCAAAGAAAGGCACTCAAGTAAGTTACTGCAAGAGGGCAAAGCCTATACCGTACAAAGCTTTACAAACACCAGCAAAATCTTACTTTGCGAGAAGAAACTAAAGCAAACATAACTCATAATTCTGAACATTCCAATTTCAAAAAGGAGATGAATTGGGAATAGAGAAGTGAAGAGCAAACCTCAAACCATAGTGTATAGGAGCCTCGAGCAGACAAAGTAAGTGTCTTGGAATCTACGGTCAGAGGCCATACACCTGCGTGGGCAAGAACATTAACTGATATGAGAGATTTTGGATCATATTAGACGATCAGATAATTCGGACCCAGAGATAAAGACATGGGCATATATATATATGTATGTATATATTACCTCTACAAGCAGGCGACACAAGAAGCATGTTCAGTTGATGAAGCCAAAACGCAAATACCCAGATCAGATTTAAGAACAAAAGACCTACGCTTACAAGCCCTGCAGCGGATGTAAGCTTAAGATTTCAGGAACAGGAAAACAAATGTCTTCTTTCGGGCATTTCATCGAACATGTCGTGTGTGCCTTTGGCAAGATACGATCTTATCGCGCAAAAGAGAACTAGAAACTCAGAAAAATGAAGAACAAACAGAAGAATTTGTGAGATTCTCACCGAGAACTGGTGACCTCTCCGGCCGAAGGATCAATCAAGTAGAACCATTGCTCGATTTTTTTCTTCTGGTTTCTGCAAATTTTTTTTTTCGTTTTTTTATTAAATTTTGTGGCAACTTTTGTAGATATAAATCGTGGGCCTCATTTCGCAATATAGGCTCAATAATTAAAAAGCCCACGATAATCCGACGCTTCGTTGTGAACTTGAAATTTTGAAATCATTGCGAAGAAAAACCGAATCAAACCAACAAAACCGAATCAAACCAAACCTAACCAAACTGAATTAAATAGAATCAAACCAACAAACATTCAACATGAAAATTTTAAAATTATAAAAAAAAATAAAGATGACTGGTACTTATAATCATGTTAATTAGACATCACTAACGTGTCAATCCATTAATTTCACGTTGTTTTCATTAGTCATATAAACTTTTGAACAATTGTTTCCATTTTGAGTTTTTAATTTTTGTAATATTTATAAATCCGAGTTTTTGAATTTTAATTAATATTTTTTACTAAAATAATATTGCCAAATTTTTTATTTTGTTTTTTTTTATTCTAAAAACTTTAAAAACTTCGTGCATTCAACCCCAATATTTCGAAAACCATTAACATAAACAACAAATTTTGTAGTTTTGAATCCTAAAAATCGTGTCAACTTATTTAATTATACTCCATCAAAGCTAATTAAACACTAGAAATTAATATCTAAGAACATTATTACAACAAAAACAACACGAAGAAGCATTAACAAAAAAAAACAAAACATTCGAAGTGATCCTCTGTCTTAATCCAAAACAGAACTCCAGATGCATTCGAAGGCTTCAAACTCCAACCTGCCATCACCTCTCACAGGCCATCTAACTTCATTCCCCATCATCATCTCTTCGTCGTACGTTTCGTATATCGATGCCGTCGTCGTGGCCGTGGTGCAATATTCGTTCTCTAAGACCGGGAAAAACGAGCCGGGAAAACTCCAATCCAACGACGTCGAGATCATGCTCTCGTTTAGCCACGGGAAATCGAAAACGCCTAGGCATTTCTCGCCGCCCTTTTCCTTGTTCTTCTTCTTCCTCTCCTCTTCGTAGATTTCGATAACAGGGTTCGATGTGTTCCGTCTGATGAGATCGTTTCTCTTCGTGCTCTTCTTCTCTCCGTTGCTTCTCTTCTCCTCTCTCCCTCTCCTTTTCTTGCTTCCGCTCTCCATCCCCTCGAGATTTTTCCTGCCATGGCGAGAGGAAGAGAGAGAAAGGAAGGGTCTGTTATCATTCTTGCTCATTGTCAAGCTTTTGCGTTTTGTAAGAATGCTAAGTCTATTTATAAACTTAGACTTGGAAGAAACGGTCAAAGGAAGAGACGGAGGATGCATGGCTCAGACTACGCAAGGGATAAGGGCCATACACGAAGAAGTACGTACGAATATACCAAGAAACTAAAGGAGACCCTTTTACGGGATAGCGTGTGATCCTTCAAGAACATGACAAAGAGATGAGTTTACCTTGTAAATGGAAGTTCTTCAGGTTGGTTTTGTGTGAAGAAGAAGAAGAAGAAGATGATGATGATGATGATGATGATGAGAGTTTGGTTGAAATAAAGGGGAGAAAATGGGGAGAGAACAAGTGAATAAATAGGTGAACACACACATAAAAAAAAAAACCAATGGGGGAGAGAGGCTGTCTGTCACGCATTCTTACCCGTTTGCTTCTGTCATTTAGCATTAAAGAAGGGAACAAATCCAATGGGTTTGTTTTCGTGTTCCCTGTTTTTCCGATGCCCTTTTGCTTTTCTCTCCCTCTCTCTCTCTCTCTCTCTCAACATTCATCTGGAGAGAGAGAGAGAGAGAGAGAGAGAGAGAGAGAGAGAGTAAAACCAGAGAGATCAGAGGATATTTTTAGCATCCGAAGAAAGTAAACAGGACAAACACCACAAGATGCAACAGGTTTTCAAAGTATGCAATCAGTTACCAATTGTCAAAACCCGTGTTGGTTGAGTTGAACTTGAAGCCCGGTTAAGATTCGTCGCCCCCTAAACCCAAAACCGACGCGAATGTCACATCGGTTTTCTTGTAACCGAAGCTACATTACATCAGTTTGGAACCGGTACAATTCACGTTCGGTACAGTTTTTTTTTTTTATGGTAATATGATTAAAAAATCCGATGAAGAAACAGACAGAAGCACAGAGGTGTGAAACCCATAGAACGAGTGAATGTTCTCTTCAAGCAGGGAAAACGTGGAGATGATGAGACAGCCATCATCATTACCCTGTAAATGCCAAATCGAGAGAGATGTATGAATTGTTGCTTTCTACCAAAATTCATTACTTATTTGGACCAAAATCCATCATAATCTCGTGATCGAAGATCAGTCATGTGATTTGAAATATACGCATCTTTTCCCCTCAAACTTGAGATTCGAATTTGAATGGAACAAATGCTTTACACCCCATTTCACCGGTTGAATTACTCAAGTTTACACATATAATTCGTTTGAATTCATTACTTATCGGATTCTTTTTGAGAACAATATATTCGGTTCAACAAAATTTCAACGTAACTAGGACTGAAAATTAATTGGTTCAATCCGTCCGGTCCAATCCAATACAAAAAGGTGAAACTCGATGAGATGCAGAAACCGAAAAGAGTGAACATGCGAAAAGCAGAAGACAATCTGTCACAATTTAAGCTGGAAGGATCATCCATACGGACAAACCGAGTCTGATGGCCGGTTCATGTAAAAGCTTCTCACTACTTTAGTTGCTACTTGCTAGAATGACTGAACTCATCAGGTCTTTTACACACACACAAAAAAAGATCGGTCTTTCCCGAAAAACAGTCCACACATCTGCAAAGATTGAATCCTCGGCATTTGCATCCCTTTACGACCAGAAAAGGGGCAGACAAAATCAGGCATCTTCAGTGTGGAAGAGCTTCTCAACGTCTGCCACAGTGTTCTTGGCATCGACGATTTCCGGGCCTTCCTTCTCGTTTGCCTCTTCCAGTTCCGCCTGGATTTTAACACGGGTTCTGATTGTTAAACGCATGCATTTGGAACTTCAGCCGTCTTTTACACGAAATCTCGAAAACCGACAATTTTCAGAAAGTTCCCTTCCCAAACGCACCCATTTATTCTCCTAAGGATTATCCAAATGGCGAAAAAGCAGCAACATTTCCTAAGACGCCTCACACAAGAGTTTTCACAATTAGACTCCCAAAATTCCAGCATTCGGATAAAACTACGGCTTATTCCAACACCTGCAAGATAACACCAAGACAGTTTGAACATATATTACCAAAGTTGCCTTCAGATCAGCTAATGCAGCCTCCAAACGTTTGTGGCAATCCGGAATCATCATCCTTGACTCAGCCAACACGTTTTCCTATGCAATGCATCGAAAACAAGCAAAGGGAAACGAATATGAAAATCCAAAAGAGAACTTTGAGCTCTATCTGAATCTGAATTCATAGTACGTGGGATAAATGGTACAACCTCTAACGCGAAGTAATGGAACCAGTAAAGAAATAGAATGTTAAATATGATGTATCCAATGGCCAACCTAGTATACAAACATATATTCCGTTTTCCAATTTTTTTTTCTCTTTGCACGCATACGCTACCCTGCTATCAATGCTATTGCTCTATGGAAAAAAGCAATGGTTCATAATCTGAAGTATCGAAAGAGAAACGAAATCGGTACTTACGATGATGTGATGATCTTAGTAAAGGTTAATGGTAAAACAAGAAGGAATTCTGCCATCCCGACAACGGATACCTGTTGTTTCAGGTCGTACGGGTCAGCTCCTCTCTCCTTCATATCAGCCGTCTTTGCAGCTTCTCTCTCGGCCTCCTTCTCGTAGGAGTGTAGCTCTTTGACAATCCTCTTACAGGTTGATGACTTGATCTTCAAGCTCCTAATCGTTGCCATGATTACCTACCAACAAGCAAAGCTTTTGCCCTTTGGATTTCAGGCGGAAGGATAAGTGGGTGGGGACGAGAACTGCATCTTTGACAAGGTAATGTAACCCACTCGATGAGCATCACAGAACAAAGTGATTCCGAAATCAAAGCAAATGCACCAACTGTTCTACCCTCCTACTATACTCAGGAACATCAAACACACACACATGCAACAATTAGATGGATTTCGGAGACTTGAAACAAAATTCATTATAGATGACGATTCTTAGAAATCTGCTTGCTACCCACTTGTTTCTCACTGATTCAGGTCACAAGCGGCTATATAATTCACATTTCATCACCGCGGAACTCAGATTTAACGCGCAAGAGAAGAATCAGAGAGGGAAAGCAAAAAAAATTGAATCGATCGAGCAGAGAGAACGCCGAAATCAAAGGAAATTAATAAAAATTCACCTCCGCGGATAGGGTTGAGAAGGGATGGAGTCTAGAGAGAGAGTGGAGTGCCTTCGAAACTCAGATCGGAGAGTGAAATGTGCCGACTGTAGAGGGCGTGGCGTGGGTTAGATTTCCAGTTTTACCCCTTGTCTGGGTTGTACAAAGAACACAATTGGCTTTTGGAACTTGTCGGTGCAGTTGCATCTATTCTAGAGGTTGATCATTTCTAATTTGGTCTGGAATTAAATTTTAATAAAAATTATATCCATTTGATATTATATATATGAATAGTCAGAATATTTGTTACGTCGCATGGAATACAACTCGCTCGAATACCCGAAATTCTTATGTACAGTAGGAAATTCTTCTCCAGATCACGTTTCTTTTCTTTAAAGAGGCCACAGAACGACGGCTGACAGGGATAATGCTGAAGACGACGGAAACGGCGGCGACTTCACGTTACCAAAACCGAGTTTCGTTTCGATGCAGCGAGCGTTTGTGAATGGCGAGATTTGGAAGGACCCGAGACACGGGCACGGCAGACGATTGCTTCTTCTCAGACCTCGACAAGGCTAAGATATGCATTCCCTACTCCGAGCAGCCGAAATCATGGTGCTGTCACAACCGCTAGCTCAGTCCTCCGGGCATGAACCTGAAAGACTGAGTCCTGGTTGGAAACTAATCTGGTCAAAGGATCTTCTGTCCAAGTTCTGATGATGGGTTGCAAACCATTGTGTTTCAAATGATGCGAGTCTTCGATTATGTACCACACGTTTTCCATTTGTCGTTCCGAATCTCCATTGAAGCTTACCAAGCTCTCTCTCCGTGTACACTGCTTCTCTCTCCGTGTACACTGCTTCAGCCCCGAAAACAAATCTAACCAAAGATCACATTACAAAACAATTATCATCCGAGATCAGATAGTCATAGTCCCCAAAACATCAGAGTCTTACCACAATTGGGCAAATTGCCATGGGATGGCTTCTTCCCACAAAAAATAACTCGGCCGTGGCGAACACGATCCTTCCATTCATTTAAGACTTGTTGCGTTCTTCAAGAAACAATCATCCTACCTTAACCGGGTACACCCTGACGGAAGATCTCAATACCCGGTTTGCTTACCGAAAACACGTGTTTATGTGTCAGCGAAAACTCATCGCACAACACATCGTTGTAAGAGCCTTAACTGGCTCTAACACGACGACTTTCAATAGCATTCTTTCTGCTATCTCTGATGATGTTTATGTTCAAATTCTCACTTCTGGGTCTCTCCTCTTATTTTGGCTTTACTTAAACCCAATACCTGCAACTTCACACTCCTCTCCGTCTTTCTGCCAAGAAAACACCGTTAAAAAAAATCAAAGAAGAGAAGAGTAGATGCTTACCTTCAACCCTTGGAACAGTTCTTCCTGCACGGTAAAAAAGATTAAGAGTGATGATGAATAAATTCAGTCTCACCGGTGTGTGAACCTCCCAACCTCTATAAAGGGTCGATGTTGAACCATCACAAGGCCTCACAGTTTCAAACAATCAGAGCATGAACCTACCCGGGAGGCTAAAATCCTTCGCCTCATCATGAAATACATTCTTCTCCAGAGTATATGTATCCATGCTTGACATTACACGACCAGAGAACTCTCAAGTACAACTAACTGGATAACAACTTGGTTTCTCGAGATTCGGTCGAATTTGAAGAAGCCCTAACTGGGTTCAGACCTCAAATAAAACACCACACGCACTAGCAGATTCTCATTTGTTGAACCCACATTCATGGTCTCGGTCAGGGTACAAACACAGAGATAAGGGTAGAGATTTCATCCATCCGCATGACAAGTCTATAGGACATGTCACATGCTTCATCTGAACCACAATCAACACTACCCGAATTGTTCATATCTGTTTCATTCTCCTTTCATTTTTTTAATCTACAGATCCCGCCTCATTTCCATCGCTTATTTGTCATCAGGAAATTCTACGTCATCCTCTGCTACTTTAAAGTGCTGGGGTTGCTGCCCAGAGCAATGCAGATTCCACATTTTGAAGTACGACCTTTCCAAGTTCCTCACCTGCAACCCACAACAGAAACTCGTTAGGTTTCACAATAACGAAGACAGAGAAGAAAGTTGAAGAACAAAAGTAGTGAGAACTCACCCAACGCTCGGTGTCAAATAGAGGGCAAGTCAATCGAACTTCTTTCAGTTTATTTGTCAGAGCCTGAAGCTTTGTCCTGTTTAACGCCAAAGATACAGCCCTTTCTTCGTATTCCTTTATGCTGTTGCAAAGTAGATGGTACAGAGTTGAAAGAAACGTGATCACTAAACAAATAAAAGCCCAAACAACTTTAAACCCAGAAGAAGAAAAGGGTGGCGGTTACAAGCACACAAATGGTTGATTACGATTCCGCTCTTTCTCTTCAACAAATCAAGGGAAGGGAAATGCGATGGAGTTTCTTAGGTTAAGTCCAAGACATTGTAGAAGTAACAATTGGCGGTTATCAGGTGAAAACAAGTACAACGGTCAAAACACAAACATAGAAGATATATGGTATTTACCTATTGACAATCATCTCGTCACCGAGACCAGTGGCAAGGCATAGTGACCCGGCGACTCTGGTAGCCATTTTCTCAAGAGGGAGTGTTACCACCGGCAAACCAGCCCATAGTACATCTGTGCCCGTCGTATGACCGTTGCACAGTGGCCTAAACAAACATAACAAAAAGCAAATTATACATTTTACATTCGAATACTGAGATATCCTCAACAGAAATGAGTTTAAAACTTACGAGTCAAGGAACAAATCTGCCAGAACACTGCGTCTAATGTGTTCTTGCTTCATAGCAACATCTGTGAAAATAATTTGGTCTGGTTGCACCCCTTGTGCGGCCGCATCTGAACAAAGAGAAAAGCTGTGGAGTCAACTAATAGGTGTGTGCATATGCAAGTACATACAAAGGAGTACATATGACTGATCGGGTAAGAGAAACTAGAAAAAGAAGTATCAATAATAGCCAGATCAAATGGGCTTCAGAGATTGGATTTAGTTACATGCTCGTAGCCTCATCTCTCCGGCAGCGGGGAAACGGAGGAGCCAAAGTGCACTGTTGGGTACACGTTTGAGAATGTTGCACCTGTTTTAAAAAGTAATAGTGATGTTACAGCAAGAAATACAAGAGCACACCAAAGCAATGTCAAACTGTGTCTTACCAAGCAGTGAAGATTTCTGGGTCCATTTTGTACAACTGGTTGAAGCATGCAAAGATAAATTTATCCTCAGGAAGGCCATAATCGGAACGCTTAGGCTGGCAATTTGGATCCAGAACATCCCTATTTTTCTGCAATGAGTTGAAACAAATTATTATCAGATAATAATCCACCAACCACTAACAGAAGACAATCCACCAAAGGCTTAAAGTTTTACCTGTTTGTAGTCATTCACAAAGTAGCAATGAGGGAGATGCACAAGCTTCTCAGAATAAATATGAGCATAGCGCAGAGGAGACACAAACTGAAAGAAAATGTGAAACACGTAAAAAAAGCTTAGCGGTAAAACACAACTGCACAGTATGTCTTTTACAACTTAGTTTAAGAGAAATCTACCTCATCAGTAACCAGGTAATCTATGTAGGTAGCCCCTGTCGTTCCTGGGAACCCCATGTAAGATACTTGGATAGGTGCTGGTTGCATAGCAAATATTTCATTCCTAGCACCCTACATCATATTACAGTCAAACAGTTAATCCCGTCAGAAAACTAAGACCAACCAAAGGTTACAATATAGAAAGTCAACCATAATCAAGTTTACAAGCAGATACCTTGGTATAACCGTTAAGGTTAATAAGGATCTGTATTTTATCCTCGTTTATCAATTTAGCTATCATGTCAGATGGCATGGCAGAGACATCCACAAAATGCTCAGCTTCAGATTGAATACGCTGTCTCCATTCAGAGCCATCATTCGGACTCAACGCATAACAGAACACCTGCACATAATATCAAGAATTGGTACTTCTGATCACTGAATAACCATGTTATTCCCAGATAGATCTAATGGTACTGAAGTACCAAGTCACAAACCTCAACATTATCCCGGGTATGCATGCCAAACACCGACCCCATAAGATGTGAGAGAGGATGATTACCAAAATCGCTGCTTACATACCCGACCCTCAGTCTTTCAAATCCTCCAGCACGCTTAACAGGGATTGGTGTGGGATGATTGAAAGGAGGGAGTCCAAACCGGGATGCAACAATGGAGCAATGTGCAGCATATTTGCGGCTGAGTTGGAAAAACACATTAGAAGAATAGAATTCATATCACATGCTACAGATGAGCCAAGGAAAAAAAATGTTATTTTACCTAATTTCTAGTGCAAGCATTGGATCAATTGGATATGCTATAGCATGGAACGGCTGCACACTAGGAAGAAGTGACATCTGAAAGAACACCAATAATACCAATCCAGGTTAGATAGATAACTGACAGTAGACCGTACATGGGATCCTTGAACTCCATATTATCCAATAATGACATGAATTCATTTATGGAACGTAAATCTCAAGGACAATATCTTACACTGATCTGCCTTTTTATGATCCCTTCAACTTCAGCAAACATCTTGTCTCGATCCTCCCAACTGCAGACGCACTAATAACGGGCAAGAAAGACCATTTCCAGGAAACAATATCAATATATCTCAGAGGCAGCATAGAGAATAAATAATAAAAGAAATTAACACCATATCTTGCAACCTCAACAAACAACGCAATTATGTATACTATAATGGCATACCTGTAGGGTGTGTAGAAGGTTACAGGTAGCTTCTGGAAAGTCTGGTCTAAGTAACAAAGCCTGCCTGTAGCTCTTTACTGCAGCCTCAACAAGTCCACTGTATATCACAAGGATTAAAAAATATGACAAATGATTAAAATATTAAACTCTCATGAGACAACAAGCACATCCAGTCAGGAGTCAAACAACATTGGAATGGCCAAGAATGACACTGGATGTATGTCCTATATTCTGTGCCAATATTTTCCAACAAAAGACTTCTGGGAAACTTGAAATCATAAGAGAATGTTTCTGTATTCAGAAAGAAGACTTTGAAGCATCTTCAATCGAAACATCTATCTTATTCCCCGATACTCTAAACATATGTTAATGACTGAAACATTAGTGTATTCATAGCTAGTTACACGAATAAAAGCCTTGGTGCAGCAAAACTGTGAGGCAAAGAATACCTGTCCTTGTATGCTGAAGCCAAGTTTGCATGTGCTTCAGCCATTGCAGGGCGGACATTTATAGCACGGATGTAATCTTGGATCGCTTCACTCACTCTACCAATTTCTTTGTAAGTATTACCCCTGTTTACAAGCCCATCAGCTGCTAAGGGATCTATACGAAGGACTTCATTGTAACATGATATGGCATCAGCATAATTTCCCTAGATGAGAAGATAAAAATGGTTACATAAGAATACAGAAGAGTCTAATGAATGCATCCAACAATTACACCCAATATACAGTAATGTCAAAGTAAACCATCACCTGTTGCTTATAGATCATAGCAAGGTTATTGAATGGAGCCGACAGCCCTGTAGTTACTGCCAAGGTAGCCTTATAGTACGAAGCCGCAACACCAGTCATATTCCTGCATGGTCAGGTTTGGTTAAAGCATACTCTGACAAGTCCTGAAACATATATTAAAAGGTTGTCATCTCAAAATCTCAATTGCTTACCATTCCATGTATATGTTCCCAAGGTTGGTAAGTGCTTGTGGGTGGGTGGGTTGCAATGCAAGGCATTGCTGGTGAAGAAAGGAAATATGTTACACTCAATAATATTAATCACCAGTAAAGTAACTACAAGAATTTCCGACCATGAGATAGGAACCAACGTACATTATAGCATTGAATTGCTTCATCAACTCGTCCTCCATCCTTCAACGCATTGCCCTGTGAATTTGGTTGTAGGAGGAATAAACAATACAATCAGTAAATATTGTAGTTCACATCAACTAAAAAACATATGTAAAATAAAGAAGATAGATAACTAACCAAGTTATTGTAACTCTCAACATATCCCGGGTTACGCACAATGGCTTGTTTGTAATGGAGTACGGCCAAATCTAGTTGACCTTGCTCATAATATAGGTTGGCCAAGTAAGCTGCATGATTAAACCACGTTGATATGAGTTTAAAGAAAGCAATGACCAAATATATACACATATATATATATATACATGACTGAGGTTTCTAAATTGTCTTTATGGAGTTGCTGCGTACAAAAAATAATCATAACAGTAATAATCACCATCTTTCGCTTTCCACACGAAAAGAAAAGAATTCAACACTCACAATATGCCAATGTAGAGTTGGGACGGGCTTGAATAACTCGTTGATAACAGATTATAGCCTCTTGAGACATTCCCAGGGCCTGTAAAAGGAAAAAATGAGAAACATCTGTCCTGGGATGTAGTGGTTCGAACCTAGTCACTACATACTACCAAGCATCATCAGAATACCCATGCCCACTCACCTTATACACATGTCCCATGTTAAAATAGGCATCATGAAAAAGAGGTTTAAGTCTCACAGCTTCCTGAAATTCATTAATTACTCATTGTAATCCAAACTAAACAACAAACAATCTGTTACAGAATATATTTGGGTAAAGAGAATAAGCACTGTTCAACTTCGAATCTAAATCACCTTGAAATATTGGAGCGCTCTGTTGAGATCCCCCGCATCCATGAACATAACAGCAAGATTTGACCAAGCAAGAGCACAAGTGGGTTGAACCCTAAGAGCCTCAATATAGCAATTATATGCCTAAACAAAATTCAACATGCATAAATATCAAGTATAGAGGATGGTTGTGCCCATAAATGTAAAGATGAAACTAGATAATCATACAACAGATAACAATTAAATGTGTTACCAAATAGTTAAACAATTCTACGGGTAACATACTGACACCAGCACTAACCCCACTAAACAAAATATAGATATGACACAAGCACAAGGATATGCATAAATATTGCACTATATACTGTTGAGGAACGAACACGGATAATAATGCAACTGGTAACAATTAAATGTGATACCAAATAGTAGAATGTGTTACCAATAAGTTAAATCATTCAAAGGGTGATATATTAACAACTCACATACAACCTACCTAAACAACATAATGCATCAGAGCAAACTAAAGTTACTAGAACTGGGGTAAAAGCAGTCAAGAAAACCAGTAAAGGAATTTACCTCTTGGATCAATCCTTGTGCCTTCAAACAATTTCCAAGGCTATTATGAGCATCAGCCTGTAAAATACAAAACAAGAATGTAAGAACAAAATCCATAAAGAGATGGGCATTTGGTATCCTATTGCTGAGGAATAAAAGACAAACTAAAAGTTCTACGTTTCATTTTTTCCCTTTTACTTGACAGTTGATACATGAGATAAAATTGCCTCCCTGAATCATAGCATGCTTGAAAAACAAAGTCAAATATCAAAGTACCAGGAGAGGATTTAAAGTAAGAGCTTGACGGGAACACTGGGATGCCTCGTTCAGTCTTCCCTTCCTCAAGTATGCACCAGCCAGATTTGACCATGCCTCAGCAAAGTTTGGTTGAAGCTATAACAACCAAGCAGAAAGTAGGAAATCGTTAAATGATACATGAGTTACTACTGATACAACAGAGAAACACCCTCAAATTAAACTAAAAATTGTTGAGGAAATAAGAAAAACTGACCTCAATAGCAATCATATAGTAATGTATTGCAAGGTCATAATCACCCTTTTCCTGTGCATAGCAAAAACCATCAAGATAAGTTTACTAAAAAGATTTCCTGCAAAATCTCCACTTCAAAAAGGTTGTCAAAATACGGGAAACTAGTTACCCTATAAGCATTTGCCATATTTCCATAACTCTCAGCAAACCGAGGCTTGATACGAAGAGCTTCTTCGTTTTTCGCAATGCACATATCATAATCCCGCAACTGCAGCGTGAAAAACAGATAGCTAAATACAGGATCTGTGAACATTAAAATGAAGCAATAGATCAAGGAGGTTTAATTGAGAAAAGTCAATCAAAGCAAACAGCCAAAAGACCTGATAATAGATTGCACCCAGGAGGAGAAGATTATCCGTCCGCAGAGGGTTCCTCTCATATATAGAATTGCAATGTTCTTGTGCAAGCTTAAAGTTTCCAGTTCGGTAAAGCTGATGTGCAAGAACAATCCGTGCATCCTCATCAACTGCGGTCAAGAACAACAAAACATAAGAAACTACCACAAGGAAAAACAGTGATCTTCGTATAATGATTACCAAGTAAACTTAAACAGGATCGTATATGTAAAACTTGACATGAATACGCATCAATGAAATAAGGCACTAAACTCATCTGCTAGAATCCAGGTTCGCTATAAATAACTTTAGAAACATGGATAAAAGAAAATATCCACATGTTTTCACTTTTTCCTTTCAGAAAGACCGAAAGACTGCAGACATGGTCTACGGCAACTATGAACAGCGAGAGTACTACATTCTAACATATCCAAAACAAGATTAGGAAACCAAAGTTAGACAAGAACAGAAAACAGAACCTCAGAAGACAAAAGCCAACACGAAAACCAAAAGGTGGAACAGGAGACTCATATCTAGTTTAATTCGTTCCTGTCTCCTGACGAATCGCCTACAAACACCCAAAATTTGTATTCTTTCTCCGCATATTTCAGACAACGCGCCCAAAACTATAATTTCTTAACAAGGCCTCTCAGCTCACCACACAACCCGAAATTGGTACAGCATTACCAAAAATGCAAAAACGCCAACAGTATTCGAATTACCCAAATCGCCTAAATTCCCCAAAATCATTCCTCCGAGCTGAAACGGAAGTAAATTCGCAAGATACGAAATTAAATAACTAAATTGAAATCAAACCCTCACGAGAATCATCGCGATGAAAATCCTGGAGCGCGAGAGAACTCAAAGACGATGATGCAATCCCCTGCTGCACAGCGAACGACTCCTCCGGTCGATCCACGACCGATGAACCCCGAGACGCTCGGACACTATTCTGCAACGAGATCATCCTGATCTCTAGCGAGAAACCCACAATTCCACAGCTGATCCAGCAGAGATCCCCAGATCAGACAAAAAATTCCGACACAAACAACCCAAATTAGGACAATTACTCTTCGAGTAACAAAACCCTAACCTTGTTTTCTTGCTCCTCCGAGGTCCTCCAATTTATCCTTCCTCTTCGAAGAAACGAGCAAAATTCAGGGTTTTTCTTTAGACCCGTGCTCTCTCCTCCTCTCCGGTGCTTCTTCGGAGCTCTAGAGAGAGAGAAAATTATTTAAGTCAACGATGAATAGATTTGGAGCGTTGATTGCTGTTGGAGAAGATCTTGACCGTCCAGTGGAGAATCCACTTTGATCACGGACACGGATCTAAGAAAACATGACACCGTCTGGTGGCTTTCGTATTGTACGAAGTATAAGTAATGTCCTCAAAGAGGAAACCAGAAGGTAGAAACAGAAGCACAGAATAATTATTACGATAATTTTATTATAAATAAGCATCTCATCAAAATAATATATAAAATTATCACTATTTTCAATTTGTATATTTATGTCAAAATAGTAATAACATTGTTGAAATATTTATATTTTAAAATAATAATTGAATTTCAAATGATTTATATGGGAGAAAAAAGTCTTATGTATCTTTTGGATTTTTTAAAATAGAATAACTGATTAGCCAATTAGAGAGTAAAAACCAGATTTTTTTTAATCTGAAAACGTCAAATTTTGGAAATTTTCATTTTATTTTACTTTAAATATATGTATTTATTTCTATTTTTCATTAACTTGTGGAATCATGTGACAAGTATGACGTGGAAGCATTATTGGGATCAATCAATCAGCGGTAAACTTGTGGAATCATGTGAGTTATGAATGATTTTTTTGTAACAAAGTGTTGATTTTTTTTTGGAATAGATAATATTAGGTTAAATAATGTTTTATCGAGTTTTCAGAATGTTGCTGCAAATGGCAAATTCACGTCACCTTCTCGACCATGGTAATGTCAAAGGTGGGTTGCCGCTCTCCTGAATTTTCTCTCGCTTTCTGTTTGTTTCTCGAGAAAAATTAAAATCCATTTCCCTTTTTCCCTCTCTGTTAGGCGACTTCTGGACGCTCTT